TTACGTTTATTATTTTATTCTCAACCTACCCCCTCCTCTCTCTCTCTCCCTCTCTCTCTCCTTCTCTCTGTTAAGCATTTTTAAAGAAACATAGTAATGCTACCAGATGAGAAGAGTAAGTGCTAATTAAGTAGATGAAATAGATGGAATTAATTGATGCCACAGATATAAGAAAGCTTTTTTTCATTTCCTCCAATCTAACCGATTGGAAAAGATGAAATGTTGAACTTTCAACCGTATATCAACCAGCCTATTATCAAAATTATCAAAAGGCTGATGTATGACTGATATCCAATGATTTTATCAAGCTGATGTTATAACCATTTCTAATCAAATAGTATTAATTTAAAATTTCTTCTTTTTCTTTCTTTGATTTTTCTTTTTAAAATTCTTTTTCTTGCTAAACAAACCTTGATTTACCTTATTTTTATACCTTTCTTCCACTGTAATTTTTACTTTTTCACTCTTTCGAGAAACTTCCTGTTGTTACTAAACAATTCGTATATTTCACCGAAATTAACTTACTCTTCTCTCTATCACATTTCTTCTTTTAAGCAACAAAAATAGGGAAAAGAGAAATGTAAAGAAATTTGATAAATTTAGCAAACTAGCTCATTTTATAGCAGCACACTTTCGTCATTTTCGGATTTCCGGATTGTTAAAAAAAAGTAGATAAGATGGAGAGAAATGATGCATACAAGTAAATTATGCTTGAAATATTCTAGTGGAGAATTTGTCGTACAAATATCTGTAACGGTTATCTTTGTCGTTCCGATACATCGAGGAGATCCATCATTATGCAATTAATTGTACGATATTTTGTGGTTTTAGCTGAATTGCGCCCATCCTCTTTACCCTGTTGTCATACCTGTCTCAATTAGTTCTGCATATCTGATCGTAGACAGAGCGATATCAATTTTCTCCGCCATCTCTTGGGAAATGTCAACGCTCCTGTCAACTATCACCCATAACTATATTCTTCAATCGTGGTCATCACCGTGAAATGTCCTCGTGATGAAGTTGACACTATGATATTGACCTTTGATGTTAATTTAAACTTTGATCTCTTTTAAAATCATCATTTTTTTTACTTTTATGTTATAACTTGGAAAAATTGCCAGATAATTCCTTTTGAAATTTTCGATTGTACAACTTTTCCTTTTTATTGCAAACTGCTTCAAATTGGGTTAACTAATAATGGTGACAGCTATTTCACCGATCAGTTACAACGAAAGAAAAACCGCGGCTATCAATGAATGACAAGTAATAGTAGCACAATGCTCTTTTCACTTACAGATCTTTAGATTTTCCCATTACAGCCAATGGTTTCATCTTTGGGTGTGAAATCTGTTCGGTAATTTTTAAAGATATGAAATCTGTTCGGTAATTTTTAAAGATATGAAATCTGTATCGGTGATTTTTAAAGATATGAATCTGTATCGGTAATCCACTTTCTCTTTGTCCCTGAGAAAATTATTCATTTTATTTGTGTTCTTTTTGCATTCATTTCTTAAGCCTACTTGTGAAATTTATAAACATTTAATTGGCGGAGAAATGCTTTATCCGAATGTCTCTATAATGCATATTAATTTATAATACATAATTTGCATAAGGAATAGATAGGAAGGAAGAAATGAATTGGTCTTTCCCTCAATAAGGATGGAAATGATGTACATCTATCAACAACTTTATAGTCTGTAACAGACAAGATT